TTTGAATCTCCTCTTTTTTCTTCTTAATTTTGGAGTGGAAAAAGGTTTAAGCAGCATTGTTCATTGAGATATTCATTAAGATATTTAGCAACGTAACTGATTTTCTTTCAGAGTTGTCAGCTGTCTCTTACAATCTTGGCCATGAGTGCGTGCTCAAGAACTCACTATTCAAGCTCGCATAGCTAGAGTAGGAAGTACGAGGAGCCCTATTATGAGCACACATGGTACCAAATTAATTGGGAAACTACTGCTCAATTCCAGTCCAGTAGCACTCTGCACTGAACTTCAGCTACTGTCTGTGTCTCCCTTTCCTGAGCCTATTCATGCTTATCTTTAAAGGCATTATTTTTTTCCATGTTTTTTTTTTGTACACATAGGTAGTTTGGGAGCATGTTCGGATGAAACATCAGACCAACTGTAGATCAAAGGTAAAGCAGTATCAGAGGTGACATTTTCTGTAGGCATTTTTGCAAACAAGGTCCTGGCTGAATATCTGAGTCATTACTAGCAAATGTTTTGTATCAGTGTCAAAGACAGAATTTTAATTGCATTTCTGCCTGGCATTAGATGCATAGTCTAGGAGCTGATGTTGCACCGCAGATGGAAGCTGATGTGGGACTGAGATGACATCCTTCATTGCAGAATACTTTCATCCAGATGTTCCTTCTCAGGGTGGGATATGGGGGCTGCACCTGTGCACACCAGAATAGCAGCAGCCAGGGAGGATTCCCTGCCATAACATGTGTCTGTGAAACACATACTTTCTCCCGGAGGAAATGAGCTTATGTCAACAAAAATGGGAACTTAAAAAAAATATATGTAGTGCTGGGAAAAGCAAAGCATCTTTGCAGTTAAACTGTGTGAGGAGATTAATGCGTCACAGCCCTCATGCACACATTCTTCTTCTTTGCCAAAAGCTGAATGTGACTGGATACCTATGAAGGTCCATAGGTGCCAGACAGCTTAAAATTGAGATTCTATGAAATGCAAACAAATTGAAATGTTTGTCTCTTGTATAAGTAACAAGAATTATTAAGCATTAAATACCAATTGCAAGAAGAATTGTTTGAAATGGCCAACAATGAAACTGTTCTTGTGTACACATTTGGAGCAGGAGTCTAATTGGAGTGGCTTGGACAAGCAGGTTCTGCTCTACACAGTAGTTTTGCATGCGCCAGGCTGGTCAATGTCACAGCAGCTTCCTCAAGTACTGAACGATATAATCATCCTCATAGATACCCTCATACATGAGTAAGAGTGAATTGCATGCATACACCTCATTTTCTTTTCCAGGTGGAGGTAAACCATACTCTTGCAACACAACATTTTTGTTGGCTGTGTCCACATAGGGAAGGCAGTGGTTTAGCTAGGTACAAGCAGCTTGTAGACACCAAGAAGCTCCAAGATGAGAAGAAGATTGTCAAGTCTTGACCCCGTTCTTACTGACATGGCACTCAAGTCTTTGACTCCATAGTATTTCCTTTTTACTTTCAGTTTCACCTTGGCATTTTAGCTTCACCAGAGCAGAGTTCAAAGGTAGATGACGTGGTTTATGTTGTCTACTTTGCTGAGAGTTTGCCAGGTGTTTTTTTTTTTTTCTTTGCCTCCATTTATCATTTTGCTCCTTTTTAAGTCCTAGCTATTATTCTTACAAGCTCTTCAGAACAGTAACTATTCATAAGTACATGTCATTAAAATGCCTACGGTACTAAAATGCTGATTTTTTTTTTCAAGAAGGAAGGGGGTAGTATGGCTACGTAATAAAGTAGGAAAAAGATAGCTAAGCTAAAATTAGCCACAACCTAAAAATAAAGGAAAATGTATTTTTTTAAAGAAAATTTGTGTTTTACAGGAATTGTGACTTGTAGACAAAAAAAAAAATAAAAAACCAAAATAAAATACAAACCTCCTTTATGGAAACACAACTATAGTATTTCCATTTTTGGCAATGCATCTGCTCAACATTGATGTATTTTTGAGCGTTCTCTTCTGACCCAACATTGCCCTTTTTTGTGCAGCATCCAATTCCATCAGCCCCATCAAAATGTGGTATTCCCCTAAACTACCATTAAGTTGAATAATACATGCATATGATTTAATCCAAGCTGTCTCCAGCAGTTAGTGGTCTTCTGGAGAGTATCCAGATACTGCATGAAAAGAGATAACTGGGAAAGAAATAAACAATTTTGCTTGACAAATGGACCAGTGTATCTTTTGTCCCAGCCATCTTAGTCTAGTAAAAAATCTTGTTCAAATACAATTATTTTCTTGGAGACATAAATCGTAGTTTTTTCTTCCTCTGTGATTCTCAGAGCTTGGTACAAAAGCAGCATTGTTATCCCAGCCAAACAGGAGATGGAACTGAGGCAAAGCCTTTGGGTTAAACTCAGTAGTAAGCTATAAGAGAACCCCAGGTAGCTGGAAGCTATTAGTAAGATTCTTTTCTGCATTAGCCATCTTTTCTGCAGAATAGGAAATGTTTCAGCTGAAACTGCTAAGACTCGCCTAAAATGGAAGCTCTGGATGATTCTGGCTGTGTGGTGGGAAGGCACTGACACCTTCCCACTCTGAGAGCAGGGAGTGAGAAAAATAAGTGGCTAGTTCATTTTTGCAGGGAAAGTGCTGGAGCATCACTGTGGACTGAAGAAGCTTTATATTCCTGAAGTGATTTTGTGTGCTTGTTTTTTAGGCTCACTCTTTAGTTACATAACAACATGTGCCTTCCCTATTTACCGTGTTAAAATAGGCTGAGATAAACTCCCACTGCAAATGACACAGCACTGACATATACTGCTGATACACTGATGTCTTTTTCCACCAAAGTCAGATAGCTGCTGCCTCAGTCTGCTGCAAAATGTCTGTAATCTCAGAGCCATAAAGCACAGCAATGTGCGAAAAAGTATTTGCTTGGCAATCAGTACCTGAGAGATTGCCCCTTAAAATGTTGGTAGCTCCCCAGATCCTCCCAGTGAGTATTTTGGATTGGAAGAAAGAAATACCTCAGCTAAGGCTGAAGACCTGAATGCCCGTTGGGCTGGAAATAAAGCTTTTTGTAATGCTAAAAGAGAGCTTTTTTTTCTGGAGGGCACTGAAGACTTATTTCCAAATCTTTATCATGGCATTATTAGAATTTTTGCCTCTGGCAAAAAGAAGTTTGCTACACACCTCACCTGCTTCCACAGTGAGGAAGAAGTGGTATTTCTATCAAATACTTTCTTTTGGAGGGTTTATCAGATTTTTTCCGAGATGGACAGTGCAGTGCAGTGCACGTTGCACTCTGGTGAGTGATGTGCAGATGATTTCTAAGAGGCCCCATGATGAGAAAGTGTCCCAAAACACACGGATTGACAATAGCAGAGATCAGTCTGCACTCATGGCAGATGTCTTACACTCAATAGCTAAGGAAAAGAAAATTTACCACCCAGAAACTGTCAAGCACAAGATGTCTGCAGTGTATTAAGAGCTTTAGAAATAAAATACCAGGTTGTGATAGAGGTTTGCTTTATGTGAAGTTTCTCTCGTCAAAATAATTTTGAGGAAGAATTGTTTTCCTTTTTTAACACCCGTTTTTGACATTTCTGAAATGGAAAAGCTTTTTGTTGTTGTCAAAATGACTCTGTTATGAAATGTAGATGTAGGTAGGGTAAGGAAGATGTTATAACGAACACATTTTAGGAGTTCCTGCAAATAGTTCTACCTCATAAAATAAAACTGCAAGTTCTTGCAGCTCCTAACCTTCCGTGTCATAAACAAATGTGGAAATGGAAAGGGCAAATTCTCAGCTGTGTGCCGGGATTAAAACAAGAAGCAGAGCCTGTCTCCCCTCACCACTATCCTGTACCCTCCCCTTCCCCAGTACATCTTCTGCTGTGAAGATTTTAACATTCAGCAAGCCGACAATACCCAATTCTGGACCTAAAGCCAGTATGATATTGAAGACAAAAGGAATGTTTTCGGGATTTAAGAAGGAATGGTGCCCTTTTCCATCTATTAAGAGGTTTGCTCTGGTGCTTAAGAGCCCCAGTGCAGATAGATTGGTGGGCAGAGAGCAGGTGATAAGGTTAAAAGTGCACGATGGCTGCTGTTTATCAGTCAGATATCATCAGTGCGGACGGTGCCTGTATGTGTTTGGATTCCACACACATACATTCAAAAACACGTATCTCAACCAAGGGGCTACTCAAAACTCTTAACAAATTTACCTTAAAAGCACTGCTGAGCTGCTGCAGTGGGTTGGGAAGGGGTGCACTGAAGAAATGAAGTCTGGAGAGAAGTGAAGCTGAGGCTTCTGTGCGCTTATTTCATACTTTCTGGCTCCTCCAGTTCAGTCTAGCTCTGAACCTCTCCCTTCTCTCCCCCTTCCCATGAGGCCTCCCTGACCTTACAATCCACCCACGGTTTCCATGTTGCTGTCATCCTCCTTACACTTGACTGATGAGAAATATGTGATTATTTAACACATCATAAAAACAGCCAGAGCAAATGAAGGAGAAATCTGGAAAGTATTTTTAGAAATCTGTAAACAATCATTTCGATTCAGCTATTCAAAGCTGTGCACACGTTAGCTTATTAGCTGTTGAGCTGTCAGATGTTCTTTGGTTCTTTCACCTTTTTAAAATAAAATTAAGAAACACTTTGTTATTCTCCCAGCCATTTTGTATGTCACAGACTTCTGTTTGCAGAAACAATTTCTTTTTCGAGCTACAATAAACAGAGAAGGTTTTTCTTCCCTGTGACTGCACATCATTTCATTGGCTTCAGAGGTTTGACAAGCAATGATTCACTGACATTCCTGGTGTGCTAAAAGGCTTCTCAAGGCAACTTCAGGCACATGCATCTGTTTGTTGTGTACAGCTCAACATCAACGTCAGATAAGCAGGAAGGAGGAGGTGAGAAAGAAGAAGCTGTAAAACTTTTCTGGAAAGATGCCCAACGCAATGGTGGGACGCACATTGCCAAGGCTGTCTGCTGTGCAAGAGGCAGGAGTGTTTGTTACTCACCATGGTGTGATTTAGCCACGTTGGAATGACTCCATCAAGGCTTTTGGGGTAAACCAGCTCTCGGTTGTAGGTGTACAGGATCCAAAAGGAAATAGAAACAAACTGGAAACAAAACACAAGAGGGAAGACATTTCCAAAGGAGAGAAATGGAACTGATGGCATTTGGGCAGTGCTTTCATTTCAAGAAGGTAAAATATCTCCCATGTGAAAAATGGTGATATTGCCAGATAATCTTATGTATCTCACATGTTACAACGTAAAGAATTTACACTGAGGTGCAGTGTTCTGTGCTGATAATGTGAGAAAACTCCGTTTATAAACTGACAGCACTGACATTTCTGGGGAATGTGTGATTAACTTTAAATGTTTTTTCCCTTTGCAGATGGGATTTTTTGATGGTCCAGAAGTTCTCTTTGAGGGATTGGCTGTCAAGCCACACTGCTTGGTAATGAAGTAAAAACAGACCTTTCTAGAGCAGTTCGCCTAAAACTTACTCTACCTTCACTTAATTTCTAAGCTTAATTTCTAATTTTCAGGCCTTGCACCCATCTTTTCCAATAAAGGAGGACTTACAGCGGGAGAACTGAAAAGGAGGAAACAAACTCTGGTGTCAGCAACCAACATCTGGAAACTGATTTGCAGTTTCTTGTCCTGGCTTTGTAGTTGGGCATACATTGTGTCTCCTGGAAATAAGCTGAAAGAATGTGACTGTGTTATGCCTCTGTGCTGGTGAAGATGCATGGGGGATAGGACAAGTACATGGTGGATGTTGCTGTGCAGGGAAGATAAATAAGCCTTCTCTATCCCTGGCAGAATTTCTTTAGTGAGCCAGCTGGCCGAGCTGCTTGGGGACAAGATTTAAGCAGTTTCTCAGCCCTGTGAGATTCAGAGGTGATTGCAGGCTTCATTCACATGCAGTGGTACCCATGGGTTCCAACACTCAGCAGCAGACAAACAGTGCTGTCTGTGGGGGAGTAGGTGATCCACGGTGAATCTGATGTAGACTATGACAATAATTAATGTCCTGTGAAGCTGTATCTCTCTGGTGCTTATTTTAAGTCATGCTGGAATTGGAGAAGGAGGTGTGAGACGTTGTTGTCTCCCAGGCACCCTCTCATGTCCTCTTGGCCCATGCTGCCCTTTTGAGAAATGCCGTAAGTGGATCATTCCAAAGCTATTTGGAACATAAGATTAACAGAGGGGTTATACTTCACCCTTTGGGGTCAATCTCTGTTCATTTGGGGACAGTAACCCTGAAGTTTTCACAAGAAGCTTTGTATTCAATCGTGGATGCTAAAGGCTTACACTGTCTGCTCTTCTAGATGGTCCAAATCTGTTTTCAAATGGTAAAAGGTGGTCTGCAATCCTTATTTGTTTGACATGTGTGCATGTTTTGCTATTCACATCTATGCAAATGTTATTTGTATGTACAGAAGTTACTTACTGTGGACACTGGGAAAGCCAGGACACTGAAAAGAAGGTCTCTGCTGGAAATTACGCACTTAGCACATCGCAGTTCCTTAATTAGCCTCAGGACATCAGCCAGGAAGGACACCCCATAGAAGACAGCCTGCAAAAACTAAAGTAATTACATCTAATGAGGAAAACTCATCCAGCTTTAATTAGCATGTTCCTTACTGAACTCCATTCTTGCTCTTCAGGGAGCTGTTTTGTTCACGAGCTGCAAGCCCGCGTGAGGGAAATAGCTTTGGGCTAAATCTTTTTTACTAACTGAAAGTGATTAAATAAAGTAGTTTGGGAGATAACTTTAACGGTATCTCGTTTAACAGACTAAACAGAGATGTGTCGTGTGATTCGGATCAAGGAATGGAAGGACATGTTGAAAGCAGCTCCATCGCGCCTCGTATGTTAATTGTTATGTTCAGTGTGTCTGAGCAGGAACAGAAGTAAACAAAATTTGGCATGTGTTGGGAGATGTTTCCTGTAAGGGAACTGCTTGATAGCTTCTCCCATGGTTTAGTCAATGCAGGGTCTTCTCTCTGGGTACTCACAGAGCAGCTGACTCCAGGGCTGTACGAACCAAGGAGCTCAGAATGCTCCAGTATGAAAACCAGCTGCAGAAGTCACCAAACCAGAACCTCTGTTGCTTAGCTCAGGGGGATTGAGGGAAGGATTTCAAGTGCTTGGAAGCAGAGATCCAGACTTTACTAATGCTGAGTACATTAAAACATAACTAATGAATTTCAGAGTGCGTGTGGGATCTTTCTTACAAATCATATGCAAGGTATGAGTGTAGGGCTGCTTAGGGAAGATGGTAGGAGGATTTTGTAAACGATCAGGTAAGTGACAAAACAGAATTCTGCAAATTGCATGTGAAATTGTGTGTGAAATTGTGTATGAAATTGTCAGAATATTGTGGTTTAAGCCAATACTGCTTTTTCTGATTACTTTGTTTTCTCTCACAGTGCTATCACAGCAACTCATGCTGAACCAGATGTGTCAGACACACAAAGCCAAGCAGAAAAAAATCTTCTCCTGCTATCTCGCATTCAGACAGCTGAGTCTAGTTTGGTTCTGTTAATTCATGGGGTGGCCTCTTCTTTCAGGCTGCAGTGGACCAAAGTGATGCAACATGGGGAAATCAGTTTACAGCAAATTCTGGACAGCTACTGATGCTCAAATGCTGTGTTACAGCTTTCAGGATGAGATCTCTTTTGCCATGATCTTATTCTGAATCAATGTTTATTTCAAGAGAAGTATCTGAAATTGTTGCTGATTACTTCATTAGTTGGTGAGGGAGCTGAGAAGGGTGGTGCTTGGGAGGGGACAGAATTAGTGCAGCACTTCTCCTTCCAAAATCCCTGTTATGAAAAGGATTGAGGGAAGGAAGGACTGATTTCACCATACCCTTCTTCACAGTAGGACTTCTGCAAGCTTTGATAGAACATTTTAGAGACCAAGATGCCTTGCATGTGGCCACTCAGGATGAGGTCACGCATCACCTGGTTCAGCTGCAAAACCTCATGTTTCCTCTCTAAAGCATGAGGTGAACAGCTGCATTTTTTATATAAAAATGCACACATGGTTTTGTTCAACTCCAAGGTATCTAAACCAGCTGGTTCCCAGCATAAGTTCATACAATCATAGAACAGCTTGGGTAGGAGGGGACCTCAGGGATCATCCAGTTCCAGTCCCCTGCCACAGACAAGATTGTCACTCAGTGCCAGCCAGGGCCCCATGTGACCTGGCCTCAAATGCCTCCAGGAATGGAGCTTCTGCAGCTTCTCTGGGCATGAATCTGAGTCCATTTGGGGATTCAGCCCTCCAAGTCATGATTCTGATACATAGAAGTATGTGCCAGGGTGCAGTGTGCTTAGAGCCATACACATGCTCAACCCAAACACATATCCGAGTGCTTGGCCTCACCAGGACACCAAAACCAAGTCCTTGAAGAGCTAAGAAAAGCCTGGTAATAAACAGAAGCTCTTGCTACACCCTGTAGAGCCAGCAGTAACTTTCTGTAAAAAGCCTGAAAACTGAGCATGAGGGTGGTGACAATCTGGTGACACATAGTGACTAATGACCAATAAAGCAGTTAGGGGAAGGCATGGTTCCCAGAGGATGGGGCTATTATTATCTTGTACGTGTTCAGCCTTATATTAGTCATAGGACAGAGATAGGCTTCTCCCTCCCCATGACCCTTCAAAATTAATTAAAACAAACAAATCTGAAAGGAAACACAGAGTTCCAAAACAGCCATGTCAGTCTGTGAAGTATTCTGTCTTATTTAGGGGAGAAGAAAGTTATCTTCTGAATGGAAAGTACTCATCCAAATATGTAGCCTGATTCATTTCTCTAGCTGAGCGCTAAGAGCATCTCCTGGAGAAGTTTGAATCCTGTCTCAGCAGCACATTTTATGTACTGCTCATAGCTCAACCTATGTCCGTTGGAGTGGATTCAAAGGGTATTCAGTTACTTTGTGGTCATCCTGTATTTTCAGAAGCAATGGAAAGACGTAATAATATAATTTTCAGAGCAGAAAATTGAACCTAGCAAGAACCATCCGTCTGACAGGATGAGAAACAGTGACTTAAATCAGCTCCCAACTTGCAGTCTTTCAAACTTGGTCTTATTCCTGTAAGAAAAAAGTGTATCCAAATCTTGCAGCCCTTCACTAATGGACTAGATGACTTTCAAAGGTCCCTTCCAGCTCAAATGATTCTATGAATGTTGAGAAATCTTGGGAAAATGTTGAGATTAAAAAAAAAAAAAAAAATTGACATGAAAACATGAAATTATCCCAGATGTCCTGTGAACTTCCCAAAGATTGGAAGCATTCAGAAAGCTAACAACTAACCCCACGGAGAGAGTAAGGATATGACAATCCCTTTTGGAGAGATGTTGCTTTCCTTTGCAGACCCTGCGCAGCTCCATGGTGCAAGGTGCTGTAGAAACCCTTCATTTGCCAGATCAGTTTTCCAAACTAAGAGTCATTGTGACAAAGGAAAATTGTAGTTTTTATCCACTTCACTGATCAAAGGGGTGTTTCTGTTCTGGCATGATTCACTTTCACATGTAAGATCAGACATATATACATACTGAATTCTCAAACTTGTAGAAATAAACTGGGCTCCAAACTGTGCCCTGAAAGGGAAACAAATCTAATCATTTGGACTGACCTATTAGATATAACAGTCCACATTTAGTGCAGACACATGTCCCTTCACACATCTGAAAGATAGGTGTACTGAATGCGAGGTCAACTTGGAAATATGTAAAAGAACTTCCACAAGAACTGAAAATACTTCAGTTATATGAGGCAAAAGCATAAGGCCTAAAATGGGGCAGGAATGCAATTAATAGTTTTTGAAGGTGCAGTGTGCTCACTGTTCAATGATTTACTAATAGATTTATGGCAGAGAGCAGATTTTCATGAGCTCAGCTATTTCAGGCAGTGAATGGTTCTGTTGGTATTCTTCTGTATCACAGACAAATAAATACAGAACTAATTTTATCTAACATTTCTGTTTGTTCCCTAGTCGGTCAATTAACTCCTTTAGTGGAAAATCCACTTTGCTTTTTTTTTTATTTCAACAAAAATATTGTTTCCCTTCTGAATCTCGATTGCTACGATCACTAGATAGATAAATGAAAGTGAAGGAAAGTAAGAGCTGCAGCTCTCCTGGGAGCACCACATGTCTGGCAAGGCATTGTGCACAGTGCTCGAAGACAACCGTATCTAGAAGAAATTCTTCCAGCATCCCTCCAGCAGAGCTGGGAGTCAAACTGCATTCCCATCTCCTGGAAATCATCATGTTTCCCCATATTTCCATAGCAGATCAGAGTGAGCTGGCCACAGCAGCTTTCTGCTGGATTGAATTTAGTGCCTTTTTAAAATGCAATTCTGAGCTGGTAGGAGGAATTTTTTGGGAAAGTTTCCAAATGATGCCAGATGCCAGGCAATCATGGCCCGGCAGGAAAGACATAGAAGAGCTGAACCAGAGCTCTGCACGGCTCTGGGGAAAGCTTCAAGGGCACAGCTCAGCATGGCAGCTCCTCTGCATCAGCACAGTGTGTTGGGAGCCTCTCAGCTCTTCCATGGCACTGTTCTTCATGGCACCCCAAGGCACTCCTGGGCCTATTCCCAGTTGTGCAGGAGCACAGCACAGTGGTTGTTTGTGGGCACTGGCGTAGGGAAGGAGCAATCTGGGCAACCATTGGTTTTCAGGGGATGCAAGGAAATGCAATGCCAGGCACGTGCACCTTAGAGGCGGGCTCCATCCCATGCCACAGAGTTGGGGTGTCAGGCAGCTTCTTTGAGGCAGAAGGGCTGCCAACCATGGAAGAGGAATTTGGACTCCCTGCATTATTGCCACCTTTTCTGTGTCAGAGCAAGGCAGCCCCTCTCTACCTTCCCGCTGGCTGACAGCTCCATTGTAGAGTTGGTATCAGATCAATGCGTGGTTGAAGACTGGAGATGAAAGACTAGAGAAGTGGAGCAAGGGCCTCAGCTCAAAGAGATTTAATGGGATATGAGCTGCTCAGCAGATTCATAAATGAGCTGGGGAAGGGAGTGAATGTGAAGGTGGCAAAGCTTTGTAAGTCTTTTTCTATTTTTTTTCTGTGGAAGCTGAGCCTGACTGTGAAATTGCCAAAGAATCTCAGGACACCGGGTGCCTGAGAGATCAAATAGAAAGGCAGAAATCAGTGTTGGTAAATGCAGTGCGGAGTATTTCAGGATAAAAAGCATCTTCAGTTATACGTTTTGAGACGGTGGGCTCTAAATTAGCTATGGCTCTTCAGGGAAGAAATGCGGGGCTCAGTGTGGACAGCTGCCTCATACTGCTGGCTCCTTGCTCAACGGTCATCAGAAAAAAGAATCAGTTAAGACTTTTTAAGAAACAAACAGACTGGGAAACAACTTCAAGCCACTGTATACATATGTGTTCAGAGCTCAACCATTGCAGTCTGTCCTACTTAGCCCTTCATGAAACTAGAAAGCATAAGGAGAAAGGCAACAAGGAAGTTTTAATGAAAGTATTGGCCCTTTGTGAAGAGAGATGAAAAAGACTGAGACTTTCAGCTTGAAGAAAAGAATAACCAGGGGAGGAAATCTCGTAGAGGTCTGTAATGAGTAGCAAAGAAAAAGCGAACAACAATGGACAATTGTAACATAGCAGTAAATGGGAGCCCAATTCATGGTGAAAATGAAAAGCTCTTTCAAAATGAATTGCTCTTTCACACAAGGCATTGTATTGTGGAACCCATTGCCATGGGACATGGGAGGAACCAGAAGTGTAAACAGGTATGATTTTCGTTTATAGAGATGAGAAGTAGGCTTTGAATAAGTATTAGATATCTCAGCTTAGGTTTACCTTCTGGGTACGTCTGGGTGCCGCTGGAACGCAAGCTGAGAGGGCAGAACTGTGGAAAGATCATTTTACACCTCCACATCATCTTGTCTTTGAGCACGTAGCTTTTCCCTGATCAACCGCTGGATACTAAGTTCAAGGGAACCTAAATATCCATTCCAATAGATATTTCTGCTTTCCAAAATGCTGGGAGAGGGGCACTTGTTTTCTCAATCTTATGCTTGAAGGGTTTGTGGCATACTGGGGTGGTAGGTCTCAATATAACTGTGTCTGGGGACACAGGATGGAGGTGCTGCTTTGACCGAGGGCATGGCTGGTGCTTTAGAGGGGACAGCTTTAATCCAAAAAAAGACTAAGGAGAGGAGCTGGGCACACAGAGAGCAGCTTGTCCAGGACTTAACTATAGATGTTTTAGGCTACTGACAAATGTCCCTACATGAAGTACTGAATATCCATAAGGTAGTTGAATCCTGGCCGTTTGATTGTTGGCATTTCAGAATAAAATAAAATAAAATAACATAGAAAATTTCACAAAAAGTCTAAGTGTACTGATAAGAAAATAAGACAAAATAACAACAAACCACTCATATGTCATCCTGATTGAAGCAACGCATATGTCCTCATCCTTCCATTTGGTGCTTGCCCACTGACAAGGACCCTGTGGCTCTTTGAAGCCCAGGCTGCTATCAGCCACTTTGTGTGCCATTAATTTGGTTGTGAATATTTCCTTGAATAACAGAAAAATTGAGGCTGGAAGGGACCTAAATTTCCCAAAATCCCTGAGTGTGTGCAAAAGCCCTGCTTGGAGCTGGGGACACCTTAGGCTTCCAACGAACACTGCAGCGAGGTATCTCCTTCTGAAGAGTAAAAGTAAATATAAATACATCCACTGCCAGGCTTCCCACTGATGCTTAACTCTGACTGTCACATAGAACAAACAAAAGACCAAAGGGACCTCCATCCCTTTGATCACCTTCAGGTTAACTGAAATCTGTCACCTGCAGGAATCCTCTCCCAGTGCTCAGCTTTTCCACCCCACTGCTGCCATCATCACAAGTCACTGATGAACCTTTTGGTCTGTGAACAAGTGCTCAACCCCAGAATATCTCATGCACTTTCATTTTATGTCTGCTTCATGTAATGTCAGCATAGTAGGAGAACCAGAACGCATTACGGTCTACATTTTTCAGTGTAATTTTAGGAAATGCAGCAAACAGCATTGACAGCACTATTAAAACACATGTAATAATGTCACAAGCATCTCTCTGTAGGCTGGAACATCCTCCCCTTGTGTTCTAAACTGACTTCCAAACTCTGAACGCTCAAATTAGCACTATGCCATGCCTTTTTTCACCCTATCTTGAATTTATAGGAAATGCAACCTACTGAAGAGCGGAAGTCAAATTGCAAACAGCATGATAACATGCACTGCTGTTGCTTAACTGTTAGTTAAGGGTTAGATTGCACGCATCAGTCCTTCTGGACATACTCTACTTTGTTCCCCTCTTCTCACTGGTAGCTCATCTTTCACAAAGAGGCAGCTTGCTGTGGAGTACTCACTTTTCAGAAGCCAAGCACTTGCCAGCCAATGCTCTTTCTGCATAAAACCTGTGACTACATTTCACTGCACAAGCACAGGCACCCACTGAGCTCCCTTTGGGCTATAAACCGTTAAAGGAAGCAGTTTAACAGCAGCAAATCCACCAGCTGCATATGTCTTGAGGCACAGACGGCAGACAAACAAATAGACATATTGGTATCACTGTACAACACAATTTGCTTACCAGATTGAGGACTGTCAAATATTTCCACTGCCCACCGTAAAGGAACACTTCAGATGGCCGTTCTTCTGTTCTTAGATGTGTGAGTGAATAGAGGACGAAAAAATACCAGGCAAGAACAAGGCAATGGTAAGCTGCGAGAGTAGAGATTTCCATGCTTTAGCAAAAAGCGAGTGGTAATCAGTCTGAAAGCAGCTTTTCTTTTAAGGCCCTCGGTGGCTGTGCATGGAGGCAGCAGGGAGGGAGGGATTGCCGCCTCTGAGCAGAGTCGGGCCCCTGTGCCACTTAATCACGTTGGTAGGAACATTCACAATGCTGTGAACCTTGCTTCTGTTTTTCCCCTTTTTACTGCTAAGAGAGGCTGGAGGGGGACAGGGTGAGAGAAAGAATAGGCTTACTCCCTGGATTTAAATGCCTTGCTCAAGATTAGCAAAGATTAGTTGCAGAGTTACATAAGTTTTTTGGTGGTTGGTTGTTTTTTTTTTTTTTAATGTGAAAGTCTGGGGGGATCTTTGCTACTGATTTTGTGTAAGTGGCTGTGGTGCAAACAAGTGAGTGAAAACAGACATTCTGCTTGCTTGTAGCTCCAGGTATAGGCACATCTCTGATTCATTTTGAGCAGCCTTTGTGACTGCCTTCCCTTGTGCCAAAGGGAAACACAGTGCTCAGTGAAACTGAGTTGTTAATAGGCTGGGGAGGTGGGAGGGAAGCCGAGAGGATTAGTAGGCAAAGGTTCTCTGAGTTGAAAAACACCGAGCATTGACATTTTTTATGGGAAAAAGCTAGAGTCCTTCACATAGGAAACCCCGGAGGGGATGGAGCATGGGGGTAGGCAACAATGCCAGAGCAGCACAGAGCTCCTCACCCACCTGCTCCCCTAGTGCTGCCACCCAGAGAGCCTCTTCCACTGTGTGACCAGCTGAGGTGAAGGAGAGCAGGACTGGTGCTCACACCGTGGACACGGAGTGAAGATCTCATGGAAATGCTCATTTTTTCGTCCTCTCCCACCTTGCCAAAGTGCCCTGATTAGCACTGGACCCGACACTTCCTATCTGGGCCCCCACAATCGCAGTGCTGCCTGCAGTAATTGCCACCTGGGTATTTTTCCACGCTCGAGCCCTGCAGGATGTGGCAATGAGGAGCTCCTCTCGTCACTGCAAAGGCTTTCCTTGGGCAGGGCTTGGCTTTGGCCAAGCACATTGCATAAAATGAAGTCTTTTTGCATTTCCAATTGTCCTAGAGGGAGCGTTGAGCAATCTGCTGTGTTTTGAATTGGTTTGTTTTTTTCTCTTGGATTTATTTTTCCCCTCTGATACTGGACATAAGGCTCCACGTGGGTTGATTTGCTACGAGCTCAGGCAGTGATTTGCATGTATGTTGGGAAATAGTCCTTTCAGTAAGACTTCATTGACCTCTCCCCTGATTTGGACTACCCACATCCCGATACCCTAAGCATTCCAGCCCAAATGAGATATTTCTGACTTGTTTAGGAAGACGTAGATATAGATGTTCTTGTGGTTGTTTGAGGTTGGAGAAGAAAACCAGAAAAAAAAAAGTGAAGGAAAAAAAAAAAGGAATATGTTTTTGAACATTGACAAAGCCATTGGCCTTTTCCAAGGAAATCCAGCAGAAAACACTTCACAGTTGCCTTCACAGTCTGATGAGAGGCAGTGGGGGATGAGAGGTAAAGACCTCAATTTGCATCCCTCGGGTTGGATATTGGTACAGAAATTATTCTCTGAACAGTGGTGAAGCACTGGCACAGTTTCCCCAGGGAGGTGGTGGAGTCACTGTCCCTGGAGGTGTCCAAGAAATGTGTGGATATGGCACTGAGGGATGTGGTTAGCAAGCATGGTGGGGGCAGGTTAGCGATAATTTCAGTGGTCTTTTCCAACCTTAATGGTTTTATGATTCATGAGCTTCTTCCTCTGCAGCTCATTAAGACATATTAAGACTCATCCCTGCAACAAAAGGCAGGAGTAGAATAGGAGTATGGCATGGAGTATGGCCCTTTTTATTATTGATTTGCATATCAAAGGCACCTGGCATTCAGCACTTCACAAGTTATCTTCACACCAGTCTTTTTGATGGATTTGCTACAGTGCAACTTTAAAAACAGGAAGGCGTCTGCTTTTGCTCAGCAGGTTCCTGAATTCATGCAAATAAATGTAAATGTATGCAAAATGGCAAGGTATGTTTTTCTTTTCTGGAAGATCGTGGCCGGTAGGGCTGAGAAAGTGTAAAGTATGGTGACAGTTTTTTGATGTGGACACCTGTCCCACAGACTGAGACCATCTGCTTTGTTTTCCCATCTACAAGAAGCAGGATACGCATCCTTCAGCCTAGCTACAGAATGCAGAAAAATTGCAAGGGAAGGATGAGTGCCAGGTACGTCTGAAGTCTCACACACCGTGATTCACAGAGTCTTCTTGTGCTGGCAGTGCAATGCAGGGAGGAAATACACTGGAAAAGCAGTAAGCAGTACATTATGCCTTCTCCCCATTGGGATAAACATCTATTCAAAGTTCAGTGGAACAGAAAATTCAACCCAAAACTTTTTTTTTTTTTGCAAGAGTTGAAGATGAAGAAGAAAGAGGGAGCACATCAGGATGCAGACATATCTAGTACTGCTGCAGAGCAGACAGGATCGGCAGAGGATATCCTATTATCCATCTGCTTGATCCCACATCCCAGCTCATGTGTGCAGCTGAACTACATGAATGTATTAATGCTCCCAGCATGCTGCAGGGGCTCATCTAGTTTGAGCAGTGATAGCTGAGTTTTTGCTGAAGAAAACTGGGGGCTTCCACTTGGTGCAATAATTGGTTAAACTAAAGGACAGTGATGACTAACCAGAGCTGTGAAACACCTTACATATGCAAAATGTCCTCTGCTCATATTCTCTTCTAGGGGAGAGAGTTAACCAGTTTAGCTGGTTTTGCTGTGAAATGGCCTTCAATCACTCACTATAAACTCTTTACTCAGAGAGCAGCGAGGCACCAGCACAGGACGCTCAGAGAAGATGTTGGTGCCCCTTCCCTGGAGGCAATCAAGGCCAGGTTGGATGGGGCTCTGGGCAGCCTGATCTGCTGGGTGGCTGCCCTGCCCATAGCACAGGTTTGGAACTGGGTGGGCTTTAAGGTCTCTTCCTACACAAACCATTCTGTGATGCTATGATTATTATGGTTCAGGTAGTGGATGTTACTATCATAGACCAACATGTCTGTTTGAGATGCAACAGTGTGTCTCCAATAGTTGGCACAGTACCTCCAGGCTCCCAAGCACTCCTCTTATTAAGCATGTTGTTACCATGGAGTGCTTGGTTCACACCTCAGCCTGTCTGTAATGAGAGCAAAAAAGGGAGCGATGAGCCCTCATCCCCATGATGTGTTTGTGTGATTATGTACTCAAATGGGCTGCAAGGTGTAACACACAGAAAAGGCCCCATGCCTTGAAAGCTGCCTCTGTTGATAGAAACAAACATTCCTGCTTTCTCATGGGCTAGCAATTAGTGAGGTGACTTTCTTATTATACTTTACACTGGCAAGTTTTGCTTTCTGCCAGAGATTCCTCCATTGATAGCAAAATGAGGCTAAGCAGGAAATTGCCAGCAGGTGGATGGCACTAAGGGCAGGTGGGAGGGAAGGACTCAAAGCCAAGGAAGCCACACAGGAAAGGTTTTGGGGATGTGAAAGCCAAGCTGGGTCTTTATGCCTAGCTTCTTTCCTAGGCACTCTCTAAGAATCTGTGAGTGATGTGAAAATGGAACTGGCTCCTGTCAGAGGGATTTTATTGGGTGAACAAAGCATGAAGTGTGAGGTAAGTGCAGTTTTTCTTCTAATTTTCTGCTGCTTGTTTTTGTCCTTAATGCAATTCTGTTATCCTAGGCTTGAATGTCATAAATTGTTCATTGTTAATTTATTGCTGTCATACGCTGGCTTGTGTTGAGGATGCATTCCCTAAAGCAGGACCCATGGCTGCCCTTCTGTGGCATCTTCTGTATCTTATGTGAGCGTTTCCAGAGCTAATAGAGCATATCTCGGCTGTGTTCTGGTAGCTGTTGGTGTTGTATGGGTTTGTGCAAAGACACACCATCTGATGAATGTTAGCCAAGAAAGCTTTTTAGCATGTAGAAGTAGTCTGCCTGAGCTTTATATCCTTGGGGACGTTTGTAATAATGGTTACAGAAACAATTCTGTAACTGTTCTGACATTCAAAATGAAGCATAATTGACAAAATTGCAAGCCTGGTGTAGTTTTGCTCCAAGCATCCTCGAATCCTGAGCCAAGCTCCTGGAAATCATGTGGTTAGTGTAAGTCATGAGACTTAATTCTTTCTGATTTTATTTGTCTTGGGCTTTAGTAGCTTCTAGGGGTCTGAGTTTTCCAGCTCTTCCTCACAGCTGTGTGAGTGACAAATGTAAAGATGCTCTAACTGCTAATCTGGGCTGAGGGCTTTGCCTTATTGCATGGCAGTGATAGCTGCAACCAATAAAAAACAAATACCCCGAGACCTTGTTTGCTCTCCAAATTTTAGTGCTACAACTGCTGCTTGCTGCTCATGGAAAGAACAGTTTAACTGTTGAAAGACATCATGCATCCTTCTGCATGGGCCTCTCATCTCACCTTCTGTGAGATTTTATTCATATGGATGTTTAAGGCCAAGACGGGAAGTGATTTCTCTCATCTTAATAGGCTTCTTCTGAATGGTTCTTTTAAAACTTGTTCTATGTTGTCAAAGTTCAGAGGGGTTTTTCAGTCCTGTGGTGACAAGTGGTGTGCTGGCAGAAGCTGGATGCAGCAGGTGGCCCTATTTGTGTCTGTGCTCCAATTTCAGTCTGTGCAATACAGTGAGTTTTAAACTGGTGTTTAAACTGTGCATTTATTCACGCTGCTCAATGAAATGTCACTGTGATACAGAAACAACTCTTCCTGCATAACAATAACTAACTTGACACCTGTGATAGCATTAAATGAATGAAAATTATGACATTACAGTGAAATATTTCCAGCAAAGATAAGAAGAGAGAACTGGCTTCAACAGACAGGGAGAAGAAGGCTGAGGTACTCCGTGAGTTCTTTGCCTTGGTCTTCACTGGCAGCCAGGCTTCCCACATCTCTTGTGTTTCAGAACCATTAGGCAGGAGTTAGGGGATT